TTCTAATGACTTAAAGCTTTTCTTTACTTACGCTGGCATTTGCACTTGTGGAGCCGAGTAAGATGGTGGTCTGAAAAAGAATTGAAAAGTTGACGTTTCAAGAAACATTGAAAGAAAGAAAGCTTTTTATCAAGAAACATTGAAAGAAAGAAAGCTTTTTATCAAGAAACATTGAAAGAAAGCTTTTTGAACTCACGCAATTGGCGGCACTGCATAGGTCGGCATTCTAAAGTTTTTTTTTTGTAAAAATCGAAAATGCGGAAATAAACGTACACAGGCACGCGCACTCGAATCCGTTTGTAAATTGGAATCTAAATTTTTAACGATTTCTCTGCTTTACAGATGAAGAATTTATTCGGTAATTTAACACATTCGCGACGAGGCGTTTTTTTTGCGCTACTGCCCCTGCCCCAGCGGACGAGAGGGGTTTCTCGCAAAGCTATTGGCCCCGAAATACACCTCCTATATATATATATATATATTCATACTTTATTCAGGACATGAAATAAAGCGTAATCAGTCAGACAATACACAAATCTACACATAAATACATAGAGAAAGATGAGATATTTTACTCGGCGATGTGGAGGCGGGGAGAAAAGAAGATAGATAGAAGTGGCTTCTTGCTTTTACCTCAAGCCATGATGGGCCAACCCAGTGGAAGGTGCTCCGCTAGAGAAGGGTCTCTGTCGCTCTGAGAAGAGACCTCTGTCTGGGCCCGGGCTGGGAAGAGAACCCTAGGGGGGCCGAACCCCACACCCTCGGAACCCCACACCCTCGTGTAAAATTTCATGCTGAATCCGAATCTCGAATCAGATTTTGAAAATATCGCTGCCTCAAAAAGATATCGGCTCTTTTTTTGGCTCGTGAGACAAAACGCCGCATTTCTCTTTCTCTAATGGTATGTTTTCCACGATTTTTGTTTTATTGGATGGAGCTCAGCTAGATGGACGTTTCATATCAACATCATTTTTTGATAAGACTTTATCCCACAAAGTTATGGCCGTTTTACTGGGATACGCGCAATAGAGGTCTTCTATAGCGCAGTCGGTAGAGCGTCTGTCGCTGGGGCGGGAGGGGTTTCGTCCGGTGGATCACAATTTCGTCCACCGGTGGACCGAACCGTCCCAGGGGCCAGACGGCCGTGGCCCACCGGTGGACCGAATCGTCCCAGTCGCCAGACGGCCTTCGTCCACCGGTGGACCGAATCGTCCCGAACGTGTTAACTTTAGAAAATAGGAAAATCTTTGAAAGTTTACACAGGATAAACCCCGAGAACTTGAAACTAGAAAATAAAGATCTGACTGTTGATTGTTGATCTTACAATTGTTGCTAGTCTTTGCAGTGGACTTTGTTCTCTAAAAAGGTAAACATACCATTTCTGGTGCTCGCAATTCTTTACTTTCCTTGCAACAACGACTTAGTATTTCTTTGAGAAAAACAAGAGAACAAGAGAACAAGACAATTTACACCAGAAAGGGTGTGTTTAGACATTTTCGAGCTCAAAGTACAGCACGTGAATCGATTCAAATGTAAGTGGATACATATTAGCATTTAGATTATTATTTAGATTATTATTTAGATTGTTATTTAGATTGTTATTTAGATTGTTATTTAGATTGTTATTTAGGTTGTTATTTAGATTATTATTTAGATTATCATTTACACTTACTCTCTGATACCCAATGATACTTGGCGGTTGATATTGCATACAGCAACCCGTTTGAATCCATGGCACAGACAACCCGCAACAAGCACTCGTCCAAGCGATCACTGTTGTAAGGAATAGCAAAAGCGTTTTCATTCTGGTGAAATTGAATACGTTTTTCGATCTGAAAAGTGCTTGAAATTTTCGTTTGAAAACATTTGGAAAATGAAACCGAACAAGAACAAGGACTCAAACAGTTAAGGACTACTTAATAAACATTCAAACTTTCTTAATAAACGTTCAAACTTTCTTAATAAACGTTCAAAAACCATTATGGAATTCTTCATAAAGTAAAGTAAGGAATTGCAAAGAAAGATGTCAAGAGAAGGGATTGAACCCTCGATTGATTGATCGGTAACTGCTCGGCATTGGTTCAATGGTTAGTGCATCGGCCGATCCGCTGGCCGATGCTCTAACCACTGAGCTATTCGGTAGCCGCCTTCCCGCAAGAAAAAGGGAATACAATGCAAATAAACTAGATTACGCTTTTCGGGGCTCTACTTTTAGAATCCTTAGAACGCCACGATTGTGATGGTCCTATTAATAAACACGGAAAACGCGTTCAAAGCTAGACTACACAACATTCCGCACTGTCTACATCTCTATGTAGATGTAGACATAGAGATGTAGACAGTGCTACATGGATCGAGTACTACTACAGTATGGAATTCTTCATAAAGTAAAGTAAGGAACGGCATAGAAGGATTTCACGAGAACGGATTGAACCCTCGATTGATTGATCGGTAACTGCTCGGCATCGGCATCGGTTCAATGGTTAGAGCATCGGCCGATCCGCTGGCCGATGCTCTAACCATTGAGCTATTCGGTAGCCGCCTTCAAGAAAAAGGGAATACAATGCAAATGAACTAGATTACGCTTTTCGGGGCTCTACTTTTAGAATCCTTAGAACGCCACGATTGTGATGGACATTACTTCCCCCACTTTACAACTGAGAAGAAAAATTTTGAAACATCAAAAATAAATTTATAACAAACAAATGAAAATAAATTTCCCAAACTCCTTTAGGGTGTGAAAAGATGAAAATTCGAAAACAATGGTGTTAAAGTAGCCAAAGAGAACGATCAAAAGGATTCATTTTTCCAAAAAAAGGGAAAAGCTCTCACTTTCAAGGACGCCTTTCATGAAAGGGAACAGAAAAAAGTGAGGGAAATCTCTTTTTGATGACTTTTCTCCTCTTAATATGATCAAAATGATCATATCAATCAAACCCGCCTCTTGGGGGGAAAGAAAATGTTAGTCTAGATCTGTTTAGTGCTTAAATTTAAGTTATATTCAAATACCTCAAAAGGCGACGCGTTGCATGACGTTGCAACGTCATCAATTTTCAACTAAAGCTTAATGAAAGTACATTACAACAACACTCCAACGTTATCTACTTTTCAGTATTTCAATGGCAATTTAGCAGTAGTTGTGCTTCTGTTTTCTAGAAGACATTCAATTTTAGACAAACTACCGTAATCCTGTGCTAGTTTTCATTCAATCAGCCAGATTTTGGTATCATTCGATGAGGAAACACAAGGCTCAGGCGATGAGATCAAAATTGAGCTGATCGAATGAGAAATGACGGTCAGATTGCGGTAGTTTCTTAAAATTGATGTCTTTTAGAAAATGCATTGACCAAGAGGGCCGAATTCTAATCTAAAATGCAGCTAGATTAAATCAAAGTTTCAAATTTTGGCAGAACAAGCGCTTCCCTTGTCGGTCAATCAGATCATTTCGGTTTTTACTAATCCGATACTTTGATAAATTCAAAAATACGGGAATGGGACAAATGCGAGCTTTTTTTTTGCGCACCCGGACATTTGCGCACCTTTTTTTTCGCACCTTGCCCATTAGCGCACCTTTTTTCGCGTCTTTTTAGAGCAAAAAAGCTCTAAAAAGCTAATATTAACCAATTTCTATTCCAAATGTTGTTTTTCTAGGTAATTTTAGGGCTTAGAATCGAAATTTTGGCATATCAGAGCTTATCGTACTACTGTAAATAAAGATACATATCTTCCGGGTCTATGCAACTGCAGTTCAGGTCGGTCATTTCACAGGGACTCCCCTCTAATAATTTGGAGGAGTTGAGTTGGGTTGTCGGGGTGTTAGAGATGGATATCAAAAGGGATCCACTCTCTTTAACTTACTCCAAATTCTATTTGACTCACAGTAACCCGGAAGAAAAGATATTCAGGCGCCAAGCTTTGATTTGAGAGTGAGAATAGCCTTTTTGATGACTACTTTTCATTTTCTCAAAGATCACATTCAATTTTCAAAGTTTCAGTTTCAAATTCCGCAGCTCTACCCTTTAAAACTTGCACTTAATCCTCACCACATCATTTTTGATTTGATTTAAATTTTGAATGAAACAAACCCATTGAATCTCTTTATCCTTAGCGAGCCAATTTCACTACCTATTCACTCCTAGCCAGCCAAATCCACTACCTGTTCACTCCTAGCCAGCCAAATCAAGGTTTTTCCTTGATTTATTCTATTTTTAAAGCCTAAGCCTAAAGTGTAATTTGATCTAGCCGTTTTGTCTTTCAAATTGGTTCCACAAGCTGCTCTGATATGTCAAAATTTCGATTCTATGCCCTAAAATTACCTAGAAAAAAGAAAAACAACATTTGGAATAGAAATTGGTTAATATTAGCTTTTTAGAGCTTTTTTGCTCTAAAAAGACGCGAAAAAAGGTGCGCTAATGGGCTAAGTGCGGAAAAAAAGGTGCGCAAATGTTCGGGTGCGCAAAAAAAAGGTCGCATTTGTCCCACTCCCAAAAATACAATAAATCAATGTTTGTAAAGACCTAAAGTATGCTAAAAGTTGAATATTTAAAAAGTTTACTTTAAAGCTCTTCTAAAACCCAATTTTGTGACTTTAATTACACAGAAATTGGCAATTTGTGTAGAAAAAAAAAAGAATGTTTCAAAATTACTCAATAAAATGTTTTGATTTTTCTACTAATCTTTGATTTAAATCGTCAAATTCTTTAATTCTTTAATTCTTTAATTCTTTGATTTCTTTCAGTAATCCTTCATTACCTTTTTATTTACAAATATTCGAAGCATTTCAATTTTAAACCCAAATCCACGTCAACTTGTTTTGTTTATATTTTGATGCAATGTTTAGATCTCTTTTCGAGTGAATGTGAGTGAATGAACGAGATCAAGTTACCAAATGCCACAATTGATCACTCTATTGATCTATTGATCATTTGAAAGCTTACCTTTGAAAGCTTTGAAAGCTTATCTCTTATCTTTGAAAGCTTTGAATGCTTTGAAAGCTTAAAATGCAAAATCTCACGATTTTTCTTCTAATCCTAGCGAATTTCATCGATTTTACTGTTTCACGGACTTTTCTCTGGATTCCGAATAATAACTTTCGACGACAGGAGAATTGGAAAGATCAGGTGAGATGGGCAAATGTTTGAAGACTTTTTATTGCGGTTTTAAAATTAAAATTCATTTCGGTTTTAAACAAATTCAGTATTATCTTTGTTTTGGATTTAAAATGGATGAAATAGCTGATGAAATAGCTGAATGAAATAGTTGGATGAAATAGCTGGATGAAATAGCTAGATGAAATAGCTAGATGAAATAGCTAGATGAAATAGCTGAATGAAATAGCTGAATGAAATAGCTGAATGAAATAGCTGAATGAAATAGTTGGATGAAATAGCTAGATGAAATAGCTAGATGAAATAGCTAGATGAAATAGCTAGATGAAATAGCTAGATGAAATAGCTGAATGAAATAGTTAGATGAAATAGCAGATGAAATAGCTCAATGAAATAACTTTCTTTTTTCCAGAGTTTCCCGTGTAACGATGATCGAATTCTGATCACATCGATGAACGAAATGTCAGCGATGATCGATGTGGATATTAATGTAAAAGCACTTAGAGATTATCTACTGTAGAAAAGTATAAAATAGACAAATAGACATTATCTTGCTACAGTATTCCGGAGTCTAATCTCCAGATAATCTTCATTGCTTTGCTTGCATTGATTGCTTAGGAACAATAGAACAATTCGAAATGTTATTCGCTAGGAATGTTATTGTTATTCGCTTTTGGCTAGGAAACTTTTTACGGCATACGGTAGTAAGATAATATAGATTTAAAGACTTTATTTCATTACAGTACCCTTCTGTATCTATAAATCTATTGTATCTTCTTTTTATTTAGATATTTACTTAAGTAACTTACCGTAAATACTGTAATAGTACCCGGCCCCCATAATGACGGTGCGGAGTGTTGCGTAGTCTAGCTTTGAACGAGTTTTTCTAGTAAATATCTTGTAATTCTTGAATTCAAAAATCTTAGGTCGAGGAAACGGTTTTCCCTGACAATGGAGTGCTTTTCTTTGCCGATCGTGTAAAGCTTCAACAGGGGAGACCAGGTAAACAAATGTTTTGATGTTTTGTTTCAAATTTCAAAAAATAAACACCGATTCTAGGTTGGTTCGACAAGCAAAAGAGTTGCGATACAGTGGTGGGAAGTGATTACGAAACGAGAGATTCGAGAGGTTTGCAAAAAAGGATGGAGAACATTGTTTCAAGAAACCTCTGCAATTTTTTCATAGCTAGAATCGGAGTCGAGTTGTAGCAAGACTGGCTTCATTCCAATCCATCCCAATCCATCCCAATCCATTCCAATCCATCCCAATCCATCCCAATCCATTCCAATCCATCCCAATCCATCCCAATCCATTCCAATCCATTCCAATCCATTCCAATCCATCCCAATCCATCCCAATCCATCCCAATCCATCCCAATCGATTCCAAACCATTCCAATCCATCCCAATCCATCCCAATCCATCCCAATCCATCCCAATCGATTCCAAACCATTCCAAACCATTCCAATCCATCCCAATCCATCCCAATCCATCCCAATCCATCCCAATCGATTCCAATCGATTCCAAACCATTCCAATCCCAAAACCATTATTCTATTCCACAGACAAAGTTCCGATAGTTTCTCCGATAGTTATCTTCAATCTAGATGCCTATTTCGAGGAAACCGATTTCCTGAGTGTCTACAACCCGAGCTCATGGCATTCAGATGGTGACAGGAATCTCCATATGAATCTCGTCCCATCGCAAAGGGTAAACTCTTATACATGTATAACCGACAAGTACCGATTTGAGATATTTGAGAATAGTACACAGGCATTGTAGATACATAATCTTCAAATAGCTTGCTTGCCGAAGCCTAAAGGAAATGAGCTTTAGTGAGTGGAGCCCTTTGTCCTTTGTCTTTGTCCATCTAGTCCTTTGTTTAATTGTTTGTTGTTGTTTGTTTAAATTGTTGTTTGTTTGTTTGTTTTAGATTGTTTAAATGAAAGTCTTGAAAATGTGCAATTGTTTTCCCAAAAAAATAAATTCCAGGATGATGTGCTCGTTGGAGACACGCTGGCGATTCAGATGAGCATCGAGGACACGTGGAATCTCCGATCATTGCAGATGAATGGACGGGTCAGTCATTTTTCTTCTTGACCTGAATTTTAAGATACGAAACTTAGCTGTTGTTGCCTTTCAGCCTTTTCAGCCTTTCATCCTTTCATCTAAAGCAGTTTTTTTGCGCTTAAAACTCTTTGATTTGCTTTTTGATTCATAAAATAACTGTTTTCTAATAGACTGATTAAATAATAATCTTTCTGAACAAATTTATATAACCGTAAATACTGTAATAGTACCCCCATAATGACGGTGCGGAGTGTTGCGTAGTCTAGCTTTGAACGAGTTTTTCTCGACACTGGTTTATGCTACAATGCTCGTTTAGGTATCAAAAAATAGCCCTGAATTTCAGCTATTTCACAGCTATTTCAGAAAAACACAACTTTTAATTAAAATACTGCAAGATTTAGTCTTTTGTCTAGTTAAATATTGCTTTAAAAATTTTTAGCTGATAAAGAAACTGGATAAAAACTAAAGTTTCATTTTTCGCATCTAAATTTGCCAACTTTGAAACTAGGCTTTTTTTCTTTTGAGCTTAGCTTTGTGTGATGGAACAGCGTCTTGTTGAAAAAACCCAAACATTATTCGCACTAAAATGCGTGACCAAGGCAAACTTCAACTGCAAACTTCTTTTTCAAGCATATCGAAGTAAAATTTCTTGTCAATTTTGACTGAATGAATTTCAAGAGCGTCTTTCCGCTATGAGTGACACCGGCTGAAATCATGATTTGTTGAGGCTTTCGTTGATTAACTGAAGAAGTTGAGGCTTGTTGTTGATTAGCCGAAGAAGTTGAGGTTTTCGTTGATTAACTGAAGAAATTTGTACCATAAGGTGCCAAAGAAATTTGTACGATAAGGTACTTTCAGTCTTTTGCAGAAACAAAAATTGGCGTTAAGACGAAAGCTGCCTTAACGCCAAAAACTGGCGTTAAGGCAGCTTTCGCCTTAACGCCAATTTTTGTGTACTTGCAATTTTTTTTTTGTGTGCTTGCAAAATTTTGAAACTTTTATTTTTCAACTTTTCTTCAAAATTTTTGTCTTGCAAAGTTTTGTCTTTTTTCATTTTTTATTCATAAAATAACCGTAATACATAAAGTTTAAAGATTCTTTTCAAAGCTTCTTTTGAAATCCCGATTTCCTTCTTTCTTCAATTCAAATACCTCTTTATGCACCGAAATATAACAGAGATCAAAACTAGTTTGTCCGAAAATATTGCAGAAAGTTTGTAAAATGAAAATCAAATGAAAATTAAATGAAAATCAAATGAAAATCAAATGAAAATCAAATGAAAACAAATGAAAATCAAATGAAAATCAGGGGGTGGGACAAATGCGACCTTTTTTTTGCGCACCTGGACATTTGCGCACTTTTTGCGCATTTTTTTTGCTGGAAAAGGCCTTAGGAAAAGTCGTAGAGCTTCAAAAACGTTTTCACAGAAGGGAATCGTATGCGTAGATTCAGAATTTTGACAAATCAGACCTCACTGACACGTCAAATTTAGACTAAAAGGCAAAAACTGCGGAAAAGCGTTAAGTTGCGTAGTTTTTGCCTTTTAGCCCAAATTTGACGTGTCAGCGAGGCCTGATTTGTCGAAATTCGGAATCTACGCATACGATTCCCTTATATGGAAACGTTTTTGATGCTCTACGGCCTCTACGGCTTTTCCTAAGGCCTTTTCCAGCAAAAAAAAGGTGCGCAAATGTCCAGATGCGCAAAAAAAGGTCGCATTTGTTCCACCCCCGAAAATCAAATGAAAAACAAATGAAAATCAAAAGAAAACCCGTCAAAATGCGAAATTGTGCTGAAAATTGAGAGAAAATCGAAAAAAAGAACCCGCTTTTTGAATTTAAACATTCACTAGTTTTTTCCGAAAAAGTTTAAACTAGAAAAGTTGTTACAAATAAAAAAAAACGATAAATGAAGTGATTTCGAGCCGTTTTAACAACAAAAAATGTAGAAATTTGTATGAAATTGTAGCCTTTTTTTCTTTAACTCATCGACCCGATCGCGTCCCCAATCGCCCATGTACCCATTTTCATCTCGCGAATGATTAAAGAGGCAAAAGTGCCCCAAGCCTCCAAAGCCACTTCTCGTTCCTCAAATTTTTTCATTTTTTCTTCTTTTCATTTTTTTATAGTTACTTTATCTAGTTACTTTAAGACTTTATCTACTGGCAAGATTTCAAAAAAATACAATCTGGAAGATATAGAAGATCTAGAAAATATAGACATCTAGAAAATCTAGAAGATCTAGAAATCTAGAAGATCTAGAAGAACTAGAAGAACTAGAAGATCTAGAAGATCTAGAAGATCTAGAAGATCTAGAAGAACTAGAAGAACTAGAAGAACTAGAAGAACTAGAAGAACTAGAAGATCTAGAAGATCTAGAAGATCTAGAAGAACTAGAAGATCTAGAAGAACTAGAAGAACTAGAAGAACTAGAAGAACTAGAGGTTCTAGAAGAACTAGAAGATCCAGAAAATCTAGAAATCTAGAAATCCAGAAAATCTAGAAATCTAGAAAATCTCATCCAAAATCTTTCACTCAACAATTAACCTAATCATCTTTCGTACAGCTTTTTGCAAATTCAGCGAATTAAAAATCCATTTCTACCAGGATATAGAAAAGATTTAGAGCTTTTAAATGGTACATAATAGTCATCGATATCTTATCCCTAAGCTGAGAAATTTACAAAACTGAAAAAAACGACAACTTAGCCATCGACATTGCCGACAATCTGGGGCTCGTTATTCTACTCTTTTTGAAACATTTACTTTTACGCGTAACGCTCTTCTGTTCTTTTTTTTGTTCTGGTTATCCAAATTTCATGCAAATGAACGATCTTCTAACCTCTTTCGATCGATATTCACACTCGGCCATTATCGTGAGAAGACTTGCTTTAAATTCCCTCCAAACGGACGATGAAAAGTGAATTCCCTTGTCGAAATGGACGGCGCCCACGCGGCGAATTCGTTGCATTATAAACTAAAAAAGTGTATCATAAAATGCCTTAAAATCTTCTACTTTTTAATCTCTACAAAATAATCGACTTTTTGATCACCAATTCATTTGCAATTTATCAATTTTCACTCATTTGCAGAAATCTTTCACTCCATAAATTTCATGTTTCAAAGTTTTATTAGACAATTTTCGGTTTTTCAATTCAATTCAGCTGTTTCAGATATTCAGCAGCCAAGCTTTGATATATTGATTTTTGAGGGTGAGAATAGCCTTTTTGATGACTACTTTTCATTTTCTCAAAGATCACATTCAATTTTCAAAGTTTCAGTTTCAAATTCCGCAGCTCTACCCTTTAAAACTTGCACTTAATCCTCACCACATCATTTTTGATTTGATTGAAATTTTGGATGAAACAAACCCATTGAATCTCTTTATCTTTATCTCTTTATCCTTAGCTAGCCAATTTCATTACCTGTTCACTCCTAGCCAGCCAAATTCACTACCTCTCCACTCCTAGCCAGCCAAATCCACTACCTGTTCACTCCTAGCCAGCCAAATTCATTACCTGTTCACTCCTAGCCAGCCAAATCCACTACCTGTCCCCTCCTAGCCAGCCAAATTCACTACCTGTTCACTCTGTCCTGTGCTCATCATTTCCAAAATCTCTGTGATGAATTTCGTAATTCGATCAGCTACCTCTTGATATCTAAAAAAATTCAATTTACTTTCAAAATCTTGTTTTTTTTAAAGTGCAAAACGGGTACAACGGATGAAAAGTGGGAAATGGTGTTAGAAGTTTAAAACGAAAAAAAGATTACTATAGCTTTTAGCTTAAAAGAAAAGGTAAAGTAATCTTTTGGAAAATGTAAAAAGATAAAGTTTGTCGTTTTTTCTTTGTGCTTTTTTCTTTTGGCTTTTTTTACCTCATTCCTGGAGCGTCCATTTCTTTTCGACTAAAGAAAACGGGGTTTTTTTTAAAAGAAATCTTTGGTTTGATTTGATTCCTTGATTTGAGGCTTGATTCTTTTTATTCTTTTTATTCTTTTTATAAAACTAAAAGAAATCTTGTTTGTTTGGCAAGTAGCACTAATTTTCTTTTGGGAAAGCTAAAAGCTAAAGCTAAAGCTAAAAGCCAAAGCTAAAAGCTAACAATAATTTGAACAAGCTGCCAAGCAGCACTACCCAAAAATACCAAATTGGTGGTTTTAATTACAGCCTAAGCCTGAGCCTAAGCCTAAGCCTAAGCCTAAGCCTAAGCTAAAGCTAAAGCTAAAACGAACTTCGGATTGGTGATCAAATCGAAGCTTCGCCGTGCACCATTTTGCGTTACTTTTTCCTTTTCCTCGTTTAACTGCGCGAATTCGTAAAAAGAGGCGGTGCTGAAAGATTCGGTAAAATTGGAAATTTTCTGGTGGATTTCCCTTGTCTAACTTTGAAACATCGTTTCGACAAACGAACCGAAAAATGTCGAACAGAGCCGGGTGTTTCCTGAGCATACTGTAAAGAACCCTCAAACCGAGTTGCCCGTTTGTCATTCGTTGTGCTTGTTGCCACGAGCTTGTCAAAAGTGCCAAACGTTCGCCAAAAAGTTGACTGAAAAGGCTCGTTTGAGTTTTTTTGAAATATGTATATGTTATGTCCGATTTAGATTTCCGTCCGATTTAGATTCAATCTAAATCTTATATAGATTGAACAATAATACGTCTTATATAGATTGAACAATAATATAAACATGCTTAATATATGTTCTTGAGCGTTTTCTGTAGTTTTCTGTAGTTTTCTCATTTTTCACAATTTCTCTCCCAAGCACTACGATTAAAGCATTAGATTTAAAGCTTTTCGAGAAATTTCTGATTGTTTACCGTATTCTCTCTAATAGTAGTGCGCACTACTATTTTTTTCAAGCCCCTCTCGGACCGCAATACTATTAGAGAGTGCACTACTATTAGAGAGTGCACTACTATTAGAGAGTGCACTACTATTAGAGAGTGCACTACTATTAGAGAGTGCACTACCATTAAACAGTGCACTACCATTAAACAGTGCACTACTATTAGAGAGAAGACGGTACACATCCGCGCGAAATAAGGCAAAAAAAACTTTCTCTATCAGAATTTCACGTTTGAATATCCATTCGACGCAGAAAATTGTGCTGGATCGAATGGTGAAGAAATTATCAAAATCCGTCTGACTCGATTTTTTAAAATCGCCTTTTATCGAAAAAAACCGCACTTTTACAATGAACTCGCTCGCCGCGACCAACTTTCGGTGGCTCGTTCTCAGCGTGGCCAAAAGATTGCGCCCTCAAAACCGATAACTTTTGTGTGGACGTGTGCAAAGATCATTTTGATACCAAAAAAATAAGAATTGATCAACTCTGCAAAGACTTGATGCCTTTTAAAGGTGAAAATGACGTTTTTTTTGACATTCTGCCCGCTAAAACGTGGACAATCTACGTGACGTACGGACAATCTCGGGACAATCTACGTGACGTACGGACAATCCCGGGACAATCTACGTGACGTACGGACAATCTCGGGACAATCTACGTGACGTACGGACAATCCCGGGACAATCTACGTGACGTACGGACAATCTCGGGCGTGTTTTTAGTTTTACATGCGTAGGGAGGTTTATTAAAGTTAAAACAAAGCAGAAAATGCCTTTTGGGCGTGTCTCGGATCCGCCATTTTTTTCCGCGCCATTAGCACAGGTGCACAGAGCATACCGCGGTATGCTTATTTTCTTATTGCTTATTTTCTTATTCCTTATTATGTGCTTATTTTCGTGTAAACATCTTTTCGATCTCGATTTCAACATTCTTCTTCAAATCTCCACTCACCCAGTGTCACAAATTGTCTTCTTTCTCTTCATCGTTTTCCTCTCCACAATTTTTGCGTTCAACCAATTGGAGCCTATAATTTCCTATAATTGCTCTTTATTTTTTGATCGAAATAACTTCTGAGTCATTCTGAGATTTCAAATTTTTTTGATAGGAAATTGATGCAGAACTAAATGAGTAAAACGTAAAAAAAAATTGTAGGTTTCAAAATGAGTAAAGAGTAAAGTTAGGAATTTTAGTGATTCGATCATCTAAAGTTATTTATAGTTGTTATATTATATACTATATTTATAGTTGTTATTATCTAAAGTTATATTTCAAGGTGAATTCTTGATTAAAGCAATCGAAAATTCTTTCCAAAATACTTTGGGTCAATTCTAGCAAGTTCACTTGTCAAATAGGTTATTGTTGTTGTTTTTGTGAAGTAAAGGCTTATTCTTGTTCTTATTCTGAACTAAAGAGCTTATTCTTGTTCTTGTGCTGAACTAAAGGCTTATTCTTGTTCTTGTTCTGAACTAAACAGCTTCTTCTTGTTCTTGTTTTGAAATAAAGGCTTATTCTTGATCTTGTTCTGAACTAAAGAGCTTATTCTTGTTCTTGTTGGGAACTAAAGAGCTTATTCTTGATCTTGTACTGAACTAAAGAGCTTATTCTTGTTCTTGTTGTGAACTAAAGAGCTTATTCTTGATCTTGTGCTGAACTAAAGAGCTTATTCTTGATCTTGTTCTGAACTAAAGGCTTTTTCTTGCTCTTGTTGTGAAGTAAAGGCTTATTCTTGTTCTTGTTTTGAACTAAAGGTCTATTCTTGTTCTTGTTCTGAACTAAAGGCTTATTCTCGTTCTTGTTCTGAACTAAACAGCTTATTCTTGTTCTTGTTTTGAACTAAAGGCTTATTCTTCTTCTTTCGTTTGTTTTGTAAACCTACCCTTTAAAAAGATCAAGCTGTTCGTAGCCGAGTTAAGCAAAATGAAGAAATTGCTCATGTCGACAAGACTGTACAAATAATAGGAATAAGCTCCGCGATGGGTGAATACCCCAGCGATCTCCATAATGTCGATCTGAAAGTATATGATGAACCTTTCTAGGCAAGAGATCTATAGTGTTGAACTTGTTTAAGTAGAGACTCAAGACAAAAATACTCCTTGAATTTCAGCTATCACTTCGACATTTCTCTCAAAACTCACCGCAAATGAAAGGCTTCTGAAAAGAAGAAATTTTGTGACCAACATGATTGAGATTAATGTTTGCATTGTTTCCCTGAAAAATATTGGGGAAATTTCTTTTGATTTAACTTTTGATTGAGTTTTGATTGAGTTTTGACTGAGTTTTGACTGAGTTTTGACTGACTTTGACTGACTTTTGACTTCATTTTGAATTGAGTAATGAAAGAAAAGATTTTCTGGACGCTTAATAGTTAAATCTAGTTCTTAAAAGTATTTTGTTTTATTTTTCTCGACTTTTTTGAGTTCTTTTTTAAAAGTTACATTAATTAACTATTGCCATTGGACAATTAAAGTGAAATTTATTCGGTTTCACTTTTTTTGACCTTGATTGAAGTTAGAAAATGTTAAAGAATGTTTTAGAATGTACTAGAATGTACTAGAATGTACTAGAATGTACTAGAATGTACTAGAATGTACTAGAATGTACTAGAATGTACTAGAATGCACTAGAATGTACTAGAATGTACTAGAATGTACTAGAATGTACTAGAATGTACTAGAATGTACTAGAATGTTAATGAATGTACTAGAATGTACTAGAATGCACTAGAATGTACTAGAATGTACTAGAATGTACTAGAATGTACTAGAATGTACTAGAATGTACTAGAATGTACTAGAATGTACTAGAATGCACTAGAATGTACTAGAATGTACTAGAATGTTACTAGAATGTACTAGAATGTACTAGAATGTACTAGAATGTACTAGAATGTACTAGAATGTACTAGAATGTACTAGAATGCTAAAGAATCTACTAGAATAGCTATTATCCTTTTGAAAAAGCTGTGTTTCACTTTTTCCAAGCCAATTTTCCTTTACAAAGTTAGTTTGAACTCTTCTGCTAAAGGTTAAACGAAAATTTCGTTTAAATTCTTCAACAAACCTTGACGAGTATCGATCTAACAACGAGTCACTCATATGAAACAATTGTCGTCTCGATTTATTGCTCCCTTTCAACAAATAGATTGTTAACAAGGTGAAAACTGAAAATCATTTAAATTTTCATTTTAATCAAGCAAAAGTCGTCTTTGTACTTAGTAAAAGTCGTCTTTGTGTACTAGAATGTTAATGAATGTACTAGAATGTACTAGAATGTACTAGAATGTTAATGAATGTACTAGAATGCTAAAGAATCAGGAAAATCGTCTTTGTACTTAGTAAAAGTCGTCGTTGTATTCAGTAAAAGCAAAGTAAAAGCAAAGTAAAGCAAAGTAAAGTAAAGTAAAAGCAAAGTAAAGTAAAAGTAAAAGAGTAATTGCTCTTTGTCAGCTGAAAAAGCTTTTAGAAGCTTTTCAAACCAAAATTCTACAGATTTTCACAGATTTTTGTTCAAAGGATTCACTCTCGAAGGATTATTAAAACTTTAGAACAAAACTAGATACTAAAAATTTTGAAACTAACGGGAGTGGGACAAATGCGAGCTTTTTTTTTGCGCACCCGGACATTTGCGCACCTTTTTTTCCGTACCTTGCCCATTATCGCACCATTTTTCGCGTTTAAAGCTCTAAAAGCTCTAAAAAAGCTCTAAAAAGCTAATATTAACCAATTTCTATTCCAAAAGTTGTTTTTTCTAGGTAATTTTAGGGCGTAGAATCGAAATTTTGGCATATCAGAGCGTGTGGAACCAATTTGAAAGACAATTTGAAAGACAAAACGGCTAGGCCAAATTAGAGAAAATTGTTGATTTTTCTCTTTGTATAACTCGGTCCGTTCGCTTCCACAAGCTCTGATATGCCAAAATTTCGATTCTACACCCCAAAATTACCTAGAAAAACAACATTTGGAATAGAAATTGGTTAATATTAGCTTTTTAGAGCTTTTTTAGAGCTTTTAGAGCTTAAAAAAGGTGCGCTAATGGGCAAGGTGCGGAAAAAAAGGTGCGCAAATGTCCGGGTGCGCAAAAAAAAGCTCGCATTTGTCCCACTCCCAAACTAACACTTTTTTTGCTAAACAAGGACATCAATATTACTCGGGACATCAGTATTACTCGGGACATCAATATTAATCGGGACATCAATATTAATCGGGACATCAATATTACTCGGGACATCAGTATTAATCGGGACATCAATATTAATGGGACATCAGTATTAATCCACTAAACTTTGATTGAAAGTTTGAAAATTTGAAACTTGATATATTTTAATGAACAAAATATGGTTAAATCGAGATTTCCTTGCTTTTCGATGTACAATTCAATTGAATTCTTTAAACTCACAAAGAATGAAAAGATTTGGTCCGATTGATGTGACGAGCATTCGGAACAACAATTTGTACCAGAATAAATAGGCTGGATCGGTTCGAAACGGCATCACTTGTAACTGAAATGAAAAGCATTGGCTTGGAAACTCGAAAATGATCGCTTTCTTCATCAAAATCCAAAGTTTAAAGCCAAATTTCAAGCCGAATTTGCCTTTTTATAAAGAAGGACGAATCTGGAACCTTTTCAAGTCATGATCTAGCCTTAGCTAGCTTTATCTAGCCTTATCTAGTCTTCTCTAGCCTTATCTAGCTTTATCTAGCCTTTTCAAGTCATTATCTAGCCTTATCTAGCCTTATCTAGCCTTATCTAGCTTTATCTAGCCTTATCTAGCCTTATCTAGCCTTATCTAGTCTTCTCTAGCCTTATCTAGCCTTATCTAGCCTTAACTCAAGTTAAGGTACCGGATAGCGCAATGGTTAGAGCAATTGCCAAGCAAAGGTTCAGGGTTCAATCCCCTCTCCAGGAATCTACTTTTTCTTGGCAATTCCTTCACTTCTTGACCAGATAAATCGACTCTGTTAAGACGAGTAAGACCCTTCATAAGGCGAAGTTAAGCCGCTTCGAAAGGGTGGTCGGTGGCCGGTTGGTAAAGTGCTACGCTGCAAGACGGACAATCTACCTTACAAGGTGAGTTCGATCCCGGCGTAGGCTGTCACTTTTTCATGATCAGTTTTTATTGCCTTTTTTAGTCTGATAGTAAGTCTTTGGCCTTATAGAAAATCAAAAACTAATTTTAAATTTATAAACAAAGGCAACAAGTTAACGATGATGAAAATTCCCAACAAGAAAGCAGTACAATGTGAAGAATGAATAAAAGATAAAAACCTATGATTATTATGCTGTTTGAAATGGATAAAAATACTATAAAGGTTGCTATCAATCTAAAGTCTAATTCTTAAATGAAATAAAGCTTGATAAAGCTTAGTAAAGTCTAGTTTTAAACTAGTAAAGTCTAGTTTTAAACTAGTAAAGTCTAGTTTTAAACTAGTAAAGTCTAGTTCTAAATGCTTCAAAGTTAAAGTTCTTCTATGGGTTACGTCGTAGTTACGATCTGATTCAAGTAGTACAGTAGTTACGATCCGATTCAAGTTCAATTCTCCTCCCGGAAGCCTTCTACAGCCTTCTATTGAAACACTTACCTTCAAGGAAAGCCTTTTCTCGGCTACATGGTAGCACACTTTTGTTCCCAACTCGAAAAACGCTGGGAAATTGACCAAAATGGCAAGAATACTGAAATTTTGAGATTTTTGAGATTTTTGAGATTTTTGACATTTCATCAATTTTCCAATGATACCTCAACAAAACGGGTAAACGAAAAAGCCGACGATATGTGGCGCAAAGCATAAATGAATGCGCGGAGACGCGGCGATCCGATCGGAAAGAATGAACGACTTTTGTGGCTCTAAAAGTGTAGAAATTTGCCTCAATTCTCTTTTCAGAAAAATCTTTACTTAAAAAAAGTCATGTTTCAACTTTGCTGATCATTGTTTATAATTTTGAGAACTAATATTTTGATAGAGTGAAACTTTCACTGCAAACTTTCAAAAAGCTTCCTTCTTCTTTTTCTCTTTTGCTTTTATATAATCATTTATGATTCTTTTCTTTCCATTCTCTGATAAAGCCTTTATTTCTAAATCACTTTTTCGGGTTGAAAAAATTGTGTTTCAAGTTTGCTCAAGGCTTTATTTCTGAATCTTTTTCAGGTTCAAAAGGTTGTGTTTCAAGTTTGCTCAGATAGATTCTTGGATTTAAAAGTGAGTTCTCCTGTTTTTCTGTGTTTCTTATAGTGTTTTTAATGAAAAATTCACAATTTCTGCCTCTTAACCTCTAGAAATTTTTGAATTAAACGTAAATTTGATTAAATGATTAAATGATTAAATGGGGAGTGGCACAAATGCGACCTTTTTTTGCGCACCTTTTTTTCCGCACTTAGCCCATTAGCGCACCTTTTTTCGCGTTTTAAGCTCTAAAAGCTCTAAAAAAGCTCTAAAAAGCTAATATTGACCAATTTCTATTTCAAAAGTTGTTTTTCTAGGTAATTTTAGGGCGTAGAATCGGAATTTTGACATATCAGAGCTTGTGGAAGCGAACGGACCGAGTTATACAAAGAGAAAAATCAACAATTTTCTGTAATTTGATCTAGCCGTTTTGTCTTTCAAATTGTCTTTCAAATTGGTTCCACAAGCTCTGATATGCCAAAATTTCGATTCTACGCCCTCAAATTACCTAGAAAAACAACATTTGGAATAGAAATTTGTTAATATTAGCTTTTTAGAGCTTTTTTTAGAGCTTTTAGAGCTTAAAACGCGAAAAAAGGTGCGCTAATGGGCTAAGTGCGGAAAAAAGGTACGCAAATGTCCGGGTGCGCAAAAAAGGTCGCATTTGTCCCACTCCCATTAAATAATTAAATGATTAAATGATTCACCACTTTCCTCAATTTCAAACCTTCCTCTTACCCAGTTATTATCACTTTTTCAACTTACCGATTTGATCGAAACGGATCCCGAGTGGCCATGTAGCGTTGCGTTGTGATCGCTACGACACACCAAATCTAAAGCACTAACTCCATTTTTTTATTTAGAAAAGAAATTTGCTTTTGCAAAAGTTTTCAAAAGTTTTGAGCTTGTTTTGAGCTTGGTTTTCGAAAAATTGCCCTAACTCCTTTTGAAAAAAAAAGCGATGAGCCTTTTGAAACAATGAAAACAATTTGATGCACTCATTTTAAGTATAATTCTTTTAAATCTAGCTCAAATTTGCCTACTTTGTCTATTATATATAAAAGGGATATATTTACTATCTATTTACTATAGATACTACTATATATACAGTATTTATTCTATTATATATAAAAAGAAAAATGTCTGTCCGTCTATCCGTCTTTCGTTCTCAGCTTAGTTCTCAGCTTCCCGTGAACCGATTTAAATAATTTTTAATTTCTTAGGCTTTGAATTCTATCTAGTTATGAATCTCTTATCTCGTTTTTTTAAAAAGCAAAACTGAGAACACGACCGGGAATCGAAACTGGGTCGTGTGAATTGTAGGAAAGCGCGCTCCCGACTGCGCCACGGCGACAAAGACTGCCGCAGTCTCTCTAATAGAGTGCACCGCGCTGAGCCGAGTTAATGACTATTTTACGGTTCCTAAGTTTTCCCAGAATCTCAACACTCTTCTCCCCAGCAAGATCTCATCATCAGCTACATTTTCCGACCCCACATCGATAGGTTCTGATAAGCGCTTCTCGAGATTTCGAGCAATTTAGGGGAAGCTAGGGAAAATTCGATATATGTTAGCGCCAAAACATTCAAATAGTCAGCTAATTTGTGAGAAAAAGACACTGGCCAAAGCACTGACCAAAGCACTGACCAAAGCACTGGCCTTTTTTTGTTCTTTGAAATCTCACTCACCGACGCAGTGTTAGCGATTTGGCTGAACGCGTGAAACCAGGGTTGAATGACGGTCAACGCGTCCGAGTTGTCCGTGCCAGGCAACTTTTTAGCGCCATAGTAGAAGAAAGCGCACCTAAATGATTATGATTTGATTTGATTTGATTTGATTTAAATGCAAAGATTTGAGTAGGCTTAACAAGCTTTCGTTTTAGCTTAGTTTAGCTTAGTTTTAGCTTTAATTTCGTTTTATTTAAGCTTTAGTTAAGCTTTTCTTTAAGTTCTCTGAGAACAAAAGTCTTTGAATATATAGATACTTCATTCAGGACCTGAGATAAAGTATTTAAGATTTAAGCGCTAGATTTAAGATGAATAGACATCACTTCATACACATAACACGAAAAAGACCGATAAAAAGCAAGACGATATAATCTATGTCATAGCTCAAGATCATCTACAGATATGGGTGGCACAGATAACGTCAAGAATCCACTAGAGCTTCAAGCTCAAGATCTCAAGATCATCTACAGATGATTTAAAGGTTTCGAGACTATTGGACTCTCTCAAAACTCATTAAAGTTATTTAATGAGGGCCTGAGATAAGGTATTTAAGATTTAAGCGCTAGATTTAAGATTAAAACACATCAATTCATACAAATAAGCATGAAAAGGGCACCAATAAAAAGCACCACGATATAATAGATCTAATATTTGGATAGCACAGCTAGTAGGGTCCACTATCCACTAGCCTAGTACCTAGTAGCCTACTACCTACTAGACTTTGTGCGTACCTTGTGGCTAGGATACGTCAAGAATCCACTAGAGCTTCAAGCTCAAGATCTCAAGATCATCTACAGATAATTGAAAAGTTTCAAGACTATTGGACTCTCTTAAAACTCTGGGGAGATGATTCCAAATTCTGGCAGTTCTTATTGGAAAAGACTTATGCACAAACTTATTGAAGGTGACTGGGATTTCTAAAACTAAGAATTCCTAACGAAAGAACGTATCCTTGAACTAACCGTGAGATTAACTATGAATAAATCTCGAAAAAGAGGGATAGGTTGCCTCATCAAACTCATTAAAGTTATATTTAAAGAATCGATCCTAATTCATTAAAAATATAAAAAAGATTAGATTAGATTATATTAGATTAATAAAAAAAAAAAAAAAAAAAACAACCGAGGCAACAAAAAAAAAAAAAAAAAAAAAAAAAAAAAAAAAAAAAAAAAAAAAAAAAAAAAAAAAAAAAAAAAACAAAAAACAAAAAAACCCCCAAAAAAAAAGGCCCCCCCCCCAAAAAAAAAAAAAAGAAAAAAAAAAATTTTTTTGGGGGGGGGGGGAAAAAAAAAAAAAAATTTTTTTTTTTTTAATTTTTTTTAATTTTTTTTTAATTTATTTTATATTAGATTATACTAGATTATATATAGTTTATATTTATTTAATCTTTATATTTCCCCCACAAACCATAGCAAAATCGTGTCCCAAATCGCTAGCGCCATCATCGAAACGGCCAATACGACACCCCGATTCTGAAAAAGTTGTCAAAGTTTTCAAATTCGTTGATTTTCGTTGCAAGTCAACTTTTAAGACGGAAATTTATGTTAAAAATGCGATTTTCGTGATCAGCGCCCTCGATTACCCTAGAAAAAGGGAGAAAAAAGGAGAAAGAAAGAGAAAGAAGGAGAAAGAAGAAGAAAGAAGGAGAAAGAAGGAGAAAGAAGGAGAAAGAAGAGAAAAGGAGAAAAAGGAGAAAAGGGAAGAAAAAAGGAGAAAAAAGAAGTAAAAAGAAGTAAAAAGAAGAAGAACTTGAAGAAAAAAGAACGTTACCAATATCGCAGCTTGCCTTTTGCAAAGCTGGCAGTACAAATTATGCAAATTTTCTTTTTATTTGCGTCTTTCAAAGTCACATCTTTTCCAAATTCTCACTTTATCCAAATTCGCATTCTGTACGCTCTTTATCCCGTGCAAATTGCCGATCGTTCCCAAAACGACACAAATCGCTGTCAAGTAGCCGTTAACGATTCGAGCGAAGACTCTAGAAAAGTTGATAATAACGAATGTAAACTGAACATTGATCTCCAAGAGAATCGCTTTATGTCAAGGATTTTGAAACTTACACTTTTGAAACTTGATACGAAAGGGTTTCTTTATCATTACTTCAACATTACTTTAGCAATTACTTCAACTAAAGTAGATAGATTCGATTCAAAAGATAGAGCCAAGTTTACGGTAGAAAGAGAAAGGGGATACAGTTTAGAAAAGTGACTATTTCAGAGTAAAACTTTCAGAGTAGCCAAGTATCCCCATCCTTAAATTCTTCAATTAAAACTAAAGCTATTCAGTCTTATCAATTGAATCATTTTTGTTCTGTAACAGACCGAATTTTGCACTTTACTATCTCTTTAGCATTCAATACTTACAAAGAAATTTAAGGTGATTTCTAGGAGAAACTAGGTCTAGAACTAGGTCTAGACTTAGAGCTAGAGATAGATCTAGAGCTAGAGCTAGACCTAGATCTAGTCCTAGATCTAGATCTAGTTCTAGGTCTAGATCTAGTTCTAGGTCTAGATCTATCTCTAGCTCTAGCTCTATCTCTAGCTCTAAGTCTAGACCTAGATCTAGCTCTATCTCTAGCTCTAACTCTAGCTCTATCTCTAGCTCTAGATCTATCTCTAGCTCTAGCTCTATCTCTAGCTCTACTCTAGCTCTATCTCTAGCTCTAACTCTAGCTCTATCTCTAGTACAGGCCTGGCTGGCTTTGGCTTGGTTGGAAATGCTCCGGAAATAAAAAGACTAATGTAAATGTTGTGTCCGAATTTGGTGCAGCGTTAGAACCAGGTTCGGAAGTCCGAATCCGATCCAATCTAAGTCTAGATCTAGGTCTAGATCTAGGTTTAGTTCTAGATCTAAGTCTAGATCTAGGTCTACGTCTACGTCTAGATCTAGATAAATACTAGCCTAACTTACTCATAGTTTTCCCTTGCCGGATCGTTGATTTTCGTTGTGTTGCATGCTGTGACATTCACGCTGAATGAAGCCATAGATTTATGTGAATTCTCAGAATTTTCCCGCAAATCTGTCCTCCATTTAGCTCGTCATCGTTTGATTTTCTGGAAAATCACTGATAGAAAACGATTTGACGAAAAGAAATTGAAAAATTTGGAAAATGAAACGCTCAGCTCTAAAGAAAGTCGAAAGAAAGAGGATTTTGAACGATTTTTAAGCACAAATTTGCAAGTTTAAACATTTAAAGTAAGATCTTTTTTGATTGAAAAACTAATGTTTCAAAGTTTTCCTTTATGAAATTTTGATTGAAATTTTAGTTTCCGACTTTTTAAAAAAAATTTTAATATGGCAAAAATGGCATTAAAGATTAAAAAGCCGGTTCAAAGATTCGTAAAACTTTTTATAAAACAAAAAAAAAGATTTCTTTTAGTGAGATAATTATCATCTAATTCTGGGTTGACACGAAAAAGAAAATGGAAAGAAATTTGAAGAAAAAGAAAGAGAAAAAGAAAAAGAAAAAGAAGAAATTTGAAGACTTCAATGACACCAAGACAAGCCTGTTTCTTGCCTTTCTAGGAGAAACTAGGTCTAAATCTAGGTCTAGATTTTGGTCTAGATCTAGGTCTAGGTTTACGTCTAGATTTGAAGAAATTTGAAGACTTCAATGAAACCAAGACAAGCTTTTGCCTTAAAAAGTGCCTTTCTTGCCTTAAAAAGTGAATTCTTTTACTTAGAATTATAATGTTCATTTGTGGAAAGAAGAGAAATTAAAGCTGTAACGTTTGGAGGATGATTTAATTGAAAAAAATTGTATTTAATTCTTCGAGAAGGTACTATAAAGTCTTCTTTAACAGTATTTTGAGCGAGTCATCAGCCTTTGAACACCTATAACTTTGTCCAGAGAACATATTTTTGCTAGCTTTTTATATCATTGTACAGAGGACATTTCAAGCTTTCAAATGATACCAAATAAAGCTTGATTGGAGAATCGGATCCAAGAAAATCAGAGCCAACTCTGGCCAATTTTTCAGCTTTAAATTCTTTGTGACTTTGTTTGACGCAATTTTCTCTCGAAAAGTATCGTAAATTTCAATAAACAATGAATTAAATGCAAAATATTAAAGCGTAATGAAATTGCTTAGAAGCCAACAAATCCAACAAACGACTCTTGCCTAGTTTCCGGATACTTTGGAAGGATCCGGGTACTTTTGAGCGAGTCACCACCCTTTGAAAGCCTATAACTTTGTCCAGAGAACATATTTTTGCTAGCTTTTTATATCATTGTACAGAGGACATTTCAAGCTTTCAAATGATACCAAATAAAGCTTGACTGGCTGGAAAATGACTAAAAAATACCACATGAGCTAACAGATCTTTGAGCCATTTTCCAGCTCTATAGCACTTCATTGAAAGCTTTTATGCAGAAAAGAAATTTCAAAAAAGGGCTGCTACGCAGGAGGACGCGATCATACTCTTTACCCGGTATTCGAAGAAATACGGTAGATTGGTATAGAAAAGATTGACTTGGATCTGAGAAATACTGTTGCAAGAAAAAAAAGAAGACTTTATAGTACCTTCTCAAAGAATTAAAAAACATTTTTTTCAGTTAAATCATCCTCCAAACGTTACAGCTTTAATTTCTCTTCTTTCCAACTTAGAAATCAGAGAACAAGTACAAAAGTAGTACAAGTACTCTCTTTAAGAAAAGTAATACTAAAGTATTACTTTTCTTTGAAGAAAAGTATTACTTTGAAACTTCGAATTTGTATGGTATTAATAACAAATAGCAAATAACAATGTTATTAATAGAATTAGTTCAAAAGAATCATAAAAATGGTATCAATAGAATTAGTTCATTGGTTTAAATTCTTAGTCAAAGTTCGTCGAAAAAGTTGAGTTTCAAAATCTTGTTAATAAAAGCGGTGATATTTCCGTCAATGATGGTTTTCTCTAAAGAATTTTGAAACTTTGGATTTTTCTCTTTGATTTTCAAAAATGGTTTTGCCTTAGGGGCCACACAACAACAATGTATTTGATTTTTTTGATGATTTTGTGAATACGGGGCCATGCATCGGCTGGGGAGCTCAAAATCTTCTTTATTCTTCTTTAAAATTTCTTCTTTATTAAGTTAAAATGATGAATGAGCTTTAATTTCTCTTCTTTCCACAAATAAACATTCTATTTCTAAGTAAAAGAATTCACTTTTTAAGGCAAGAAAAAAGCTTGTCTTGGTTTCATTGAAGTCTTCAAATTTCTTCAAATCTAGACGTAGACCTAGACCAAGACCTAGATCTAGATCTAGACCTAGATTTAGACCTAGTTTCTCCTAGAAAGGCAAGAAACAGGCTTGTCTTGGTGTCATTGAAGTCTTCAAATTTCTTCTTTTTCTTTTTCTCTTCTTTCCAATTTAGAAATCAGAGAACAAGCAACAAGTACTTTCTTTAAGAAAAGTAATACTTTACTTTGAAACTTCGAATTTGTATGGTATTAATAACAAATAACAAATAACAATGTTATTAATAGAATTAGTTCAAAAGAATCATAAAAATGGTGAAGGCAAAGTTCGTCGAAAAAGTTGAGTTTCAAAATCTTGTTAATAAAAGCGGTGACATTTCCGTTGGTGATGGATTTCTCTGCGAAATTTTGAAACATTGGGTTTCTAATGGGCTAATGGATCATAGAAAAGGGCAAAAAGGAAAGAATTTCCTTTATTTTCCACTTCTATCAAAATATTATTTTCCCTTTTATCCCATTTTTGTTTATTTTTCCAATCTTTGATCAGATATCAGAAATTTTCATATTTTTAAATATAAAAGACAAAATATAAGATATTTTAAATATAAGAATAAAGATTTTCCCTTTTTCTATTTACATTTTTCTCATCGAATAGTTCAATTCAACAAAAAACACGAGTTTTGATAGTAAAGATTGTTTAATTTGAAGATTTTGAAGAAATCTAGAAATATATAAAGAAGAAGAGACGTCTGTCCGTCTGTTCGTCCATTGGGAAAAAGGGGCGGGGCTTGGGTTGTTCGTCTATCCTATTCGTCTGTCCGTCTATCCGTCTATCCGTCTGTCCGTCTGCTCGTCTGTCCGTCTGTGCGTCTGTTCGTCTGTTCGTCTGTTCGTCTGTTTGTCTGTCTCTCCGTCTGTCCGTCCGTCCATCTGTCCGTCTGTGCGCAGCCATTGTAAAAAGGGACGGGGTTTAGATTGCGTGAAAAACGTGGACCAGTGGACTAGACCTCCCCAGTGGATCGCTGGTTAAGAAACAAGTTAAGTATTTAAGAAACGTTAAACACTGGCAAATATAAAGACTTGTAATGCGACATTCAGCCAAATTAAACTTTTTAAATAATTAGGTAGACAGTACCAAGCTCAGAAACTAGCAAATTTGAAACTGAATTTTGGAAAAAAAATCGTTTAATTACAATAGAGTTTAATAGAGAGTTTGGGCATTGAAAAATCGTTTGGATCGTTTGGACATTGAAAAATCTTGTTTCAAATGATTTAAATACTAAGAAGAGTGTTTAATTCTAATAAAAATATAAAAATACTGCTATTTCCTAAAAATTTTTGCTTTTAAACCAAAAAGGATTCCACCAAAAAAGATGGTTTCCCTAAAATTCCCAAAAATTCCCAAAAATTTGGCCTTTTCAAACAAATTACTCTGTCCTTTTGCAATGAAAAGGACAAAAAAACGGGAAATCTCTCTGGAAATATCCGGCGGATAATCCGGGATTGAACTATTCGATTTAAAAAAATGTAAATTGAAAAAAGAGGGAAAATTACCTTTGTTGATATTTAAAAATATGAAAATTTCTGAAATCTGAGATCAAAGATTGGAAAAAGAAGAACAAAATGGGATAAAAGGGAAAATAAAGAAAATCTTTCCTTTTTGTCCTTTCTTATGAATCATTAGCCCATTAAAAAATCCAATGTTTCAAAATTCTTTGGAAAAAACCATCATTAACCGAACTATCACCGCTTTTATTAACAAGATTTTGAAACTCAACTTTTTCGACAAACTTTGACTAAGAATTTTAAAGCAATGAACTAGTTCTTTTGATACCATTTTTATGATTCTTTTGAACTAATTCTATTAATAACATTGTTATTTATTATTTGTTATTAATACCATACAAATTCGAAGTTTCAAAGTAAAGTATTACTTTTCTTAAAGAAAGTACTTGTACTACTTTTGTACTTGTTCTCTGATTTCTAAATTGGAAAGAAGAGAAATTAAAGCTGTAACGTAAAGATTGGAAAAATAAACAAAAATGGGATAAAAGGAAAATAATATTTTGATAGAAGTGGAAAATAAAGGAAATCTTTCCTTTTTGTCCTTTCTTATGAATCATTAGCCCATTAGAAATCCAATGTTTCAAAATTTCGCAGAGAAATCCACCATTAACCGAAATATCACCGCTTTTATTAACAAGATTTTGAAACTCAACTTTTTCGACGAGCTTTGCCTAAGAATTTAAACCAATGAACTAATTCTTTTGAAACCATTGTTATGATTCTTTTGAACTAATTCTATTAATAACATTGTTATTTGCTCAAAAATTGTCTTTATATTTAAAAATATGAAAATTTCTGAAATCTGAGATCAAAGATTGGAAAAAGAAGAAAAAAATGGGATAAAAGGGAAAATAATATTTTGTTGGAAGTGGAAAATAAAGAAAATCTTTCCTTTTTTCCTTTTTTATGATTCACTAGCCCATTAGAAGTCCAATGTTTCAAAATTTCTTAGAGAAAACCACCACTAACGGAAGCATCACCGCTTTTATTAGCAATAAAGGAAATCTTTTCTTTTTCTATTATTCATCGATCTTTAAACCATTGAAAATTCGGGAGTGGGACATTTGCGCACCTTTTTTTCCGCACCTTGCCCATTAGCGCACCTTTTTTTTGTGTTTTAAGCTCTCAAAGCTCTAAAAAAGCTCTAAAAAGCTTTTTCGCATTTGTCCCACTCCCGAAAATTCAATGTTTCAAAATTTTTGATAGAAAAATCACTAGACGACAATCAAAATCT